TTACAAGGACTTTAGCTTTCTCTGTCAAAGAGTGCACCAAACTACAACTTCCATGATTCCATTGCACCAGTGGTTCTCAATCTGTGAGTCCCCAGGTGTTTTTTCCTACAACTCCCAGAAATCCCAGCCAGTTTTCCAGCTGTTAGGATTGGGAGTTGAAGGCCAAAACATCTGAAGACCCACAGGCTGAGAACTATTGCATTGCGCTGAGCCAAGGCAATTAAAGTGGTGTCAAGCTGCATTAATCCTACAATGTAGATGCACTCCTAGAGAGGCTAGATTTTTTTTTTGTAAGAAATGATCTTTGGGAATAGATTGGTTATGTATGGAGAAAGGGCTTTTATTAAGTGCTTTGTTGTCTGTATTTTATTTTATTTTATTTTATTTTTGCATTTTAATGGACTGGTTCTTACATTGCTTTCAATTATTATATTCATTCCTGAATGTCTTTAGTGATGCGAGTTTTTATCTGCATCTTTTTTAATATATATAAGCTGCCTTGTATCTCAAGGCTGGGAAAGGTGTGATAAAAACCATTTTAAAAAATGGTATTTTACTTGCTGCAAAGAGATCCCTGGGGGATCTTGTTCTCATGGCTCACTTGCTTTTTACTGATCGTTCATTATGTTGATCACAGAGATTTTTTTGAAAATTCCTTTTCAATAATTAGCAGGAAACCCATCTTTAAAAGTAAGTGGGCATATATTCTTCTGAGTTGTGAAAAATGTATTTCATAGTGTGTGTGGGGATTATTAGGATTTGTGATTATTATATCTTTGAGGTTTGTTTTATTCATTTCTCATCTTTCTCAGATGCCCGTTTTATTATTGACACAGGGCTCTTATTAGTTCTAATGTTTTGCTTCCATGAACCACACAGAGTTTTCTATGCCAAAAGTGGCCAAAATATTTTAAATAGAATACAACATTAAATGAACTGTGAATATAATTCATAATGAGAATGGGCTTTGAAGGGAATGTTGGAGTTACAAACTATGACAATTCAATGTGTTGTCAGAGGCTTTCATGGTCGGAATCACTGAGTTGCTGTGAGTTTTCTGGGCTGTATGCCTATGTTCCAGAAGCATTCTGGAACATGGCCATACAGCCCAGAGAACCCATGACAATTCAAGTCAAAATAAAACAACTTTCTCTCTGCCTATTCACACAGATATTATTATTATTATTATTATTATTATTATTATTATTATTATTATTATTTCCACAGATATATAAACCCAATTTTCCTAGGTTCCAACAGACCTCACAACCTCTGAGGATACCTGTCATAGATTCAGGCAAGACATCAGGAGAGAATACTTCTTGAACATGGCCATACAGTCCGAAAAACCTACAACTATCCATTATTATTATTATTATTATTATTATTATTATTATTCTCCTCCATTTTCTCAGGATCATGTATTCATATGTTTGATGATACACACTCTCATGCTGCTTGCAATTGTTTTGTATGAGCTGCTTGAAAGCCCTCTTTTAGTTTTTTGTTGCCACTTGTAAGAGAAAAAATAGGTTAATAATAATAATAATAATAATAATAATAATAATAATAATAATGTTTGACTTGTGATTTTGTGATTCGAACTCCAGCATATAGATCTCGTTTACTGTAATAATAATAACAATAATAATAATAATAATTATTATTATTATTATTTATGGATTATTGATAAAAACAAATTATTATTATTATTATTATTATTATTATTTTTATTATTATTACTAACCTATTGATGTCGCCATACCAGGTGACAGTCGCATTGAGGAAAAACAACAGGAAAAACTCAGCCGCTATCAAGACCTCAAAATCGAACTGCAAAGGCTCTGGCATAAACCAGTACAGGTGGTCCCAGTGGTCATTGGCGCACTGGGTGCCATGCCAAAAGATCTCAGCCGGCATTTGGAAACAATAAACATTGACAAAATCACGATCTGTCAACTGCAAAAGGCCACCTGACTTGGATCTGCGTGCATCATTCATCAGCAGAGTATCAATAAAATACATCACACAGTCCTAGACGCTTGGGAAGTGTTCAACTTGTGATTTTGTGATACGAAATCCAGCATATAGATCTTTTTTACTGTGACATACTTTGCTTTTGTGTCAGTAATAATAATAATTTAAAATACATCACACAGTCCCAGATACTTGGGAAGTGTTCGACTTGTGATTTTGTGATACGAAATCCAGCATATAGATCTCATTTGCTGTGACATACTGTGTTTTTGTGTCAGCAAAATAATAATAATAATAATAATAATAATAATAATAATAATAATAATAATAATATAGTAATTTCTTTCAGCCCTTGTACTCAAAGGTACAATAAGCCTCATCCTTCAAAGATGACTCTGAAAAAATATCCCCCTAAGTCAAATTAGCAAAAAAACTTAATAAGCAGAATGGACACAGGAGTTTTACAGTTTATGGCATACTACAACTCTCACTATTATGCCATTTTCCCAATCCAAACCAATACATTATCTTGACCCTCCACCCCATCCCATTCTAATATGCAAGGATGGCAATTGCTCTCACCTAGTTATCTTTAAATGTTCTAGTGTGGGTAATTTCGTTATTATGCTTAATGTAGAATTTTGCACTCCCGAATAAAAATTTCCTTCTGTCCCCTAAATGTCTAGGATTGAGGACCCTGATTTATTCAAGATTGCATTTCCTATTTTTGAACCAATTACACACATTCTTCCCAAAGGCTATTTTTGCTGCATTGTACTTTCCAGAATACTTGGATGGCTCTTTTTCTGGGATTATGGAAGTTGAACAAGGGGATACAAGTATGGAAAAAGTCCATACTGCACTTTGAAACCATTATGTGTCCCACAGGAAATTCAAAATTGTAATTTGAGAAGGAATAGCTCAGAAGTCTCAGGTACTAGATCTCTCTAGTGAAGAATTCTAAGATCCACAACAAACAATATCTCAGCATTCTATAGTTTGGAGCAATGGAATGGAATGGAATTACCATTAGGAATTATTGAATTATCTGTGTGGATGTAATATTTAGTAAAGGTTAAGGTTTTCCCCTGACATTAAGTCCAGTTGTACCCGACTCTGGAGGGTGCTGCTCATCTCCATTTCTAAGCTGAAGAGCCAGCATTGTCGATAGACACCTCCAAGGCCATGTGGCTGGCATGACTGCATGGAATGCCATTACCTTCCCGCCAGAGCGATACCTATTGATCTACTCATATTTGCATGTTTTTGAACTTCTAGGTTGGCAGAAGCTGGGGCTGACAGCGGAAGCTAATGCCGCTCCCCGGATTCGAACCTAGGTGAACTACAACTCCCAAACTCAAGGTAAATGCCCACCAAACCCTTCCAGTATTTTCTGTTGGTCATGGGAGTTCTGCGTGCCAAGTTTGATTCAATTCCATTGTTGATGGTGTTCAGAATGCTCTTTGATTGGAGCTGAACTATAAATCCCAGCAATTACAACTCCCAAATGTCAAGGTCTATTTCCCCCAAACTCCACCAGTTTTCACATTTGGACATATGGAGTATTCGTTCCAAGTTTGGTCCAGATCCATCATTGTTTGAGTCCACAGTGCTCTCTGGATGTAGGTGAACTACAACTCCCAAACTCAAGGTAAATGCCCACCAAACCCTTCCAGTATTTTCTGTTGGTTTTTTTATTTGTCGTGTCAGATTAACCAGTCAATTATATTACATTTCTAACAGAACAAAGCAAACAAAGATAAAATACAACATTTGTGAGTTTGGTAGTTGGTTAAATGTCCTTTGACCAGTATCTGGCCACTTCTGCTTCTGTTGGTCATGGGAATTCTATGTGCCAAGTTTGGTTCAATTCCATTGTTGATGGTGTTCACAATGCTCTTTGATTGGAGGTGAACTATAAATCCCAGCAACTACAACTCCCAAATGACAAAATCAATTCCCCCAACCTCACCAGTGTTCAGATTTGGGCGTATCGGGTTTTTGTGCCAAATTTGGTCCAGCGAATGAAAACACATCCTGCATATCAGATATTTACATGACAATTCATAAGAGTAGCAAAATTACAGTTATGAAATAGCAATGAAAATAATTTTACAGTTGGGGTCACCACATCTGTATTGAAGGGTTGTGGCATTAAGAAGTTTGAGAAACACTGGTTTATTTGGTGTCATTAGCCCCTTCCACACAGCTGAGCAAAATCCCATAGTATCTGTTTTGAACTGGAATATATGGCAGTGTGGACTCAGATAACCCAGTTCCAAAGCAGATATTGTGGGATCTTCTGCCCAAATATTCTGGGATATAGGACTGTATGGAAGAGCAACTAGAGAAATATGCTGTCAAGGTAATCAAAGCATGAGCCAAGAGGAGCTGGTTGTTTGCAAACCCGACATCTGTGCATGTAGATACACAATAAGAACAATATCTGTTGTAGAGAGTAGCTCTTTCGTAAGTGAACATTTAGACACATGTAATGATTAGCCTGAGTGAGCTGTGCTTTAACAAATCCAAAGTGAATTGGGGGAAGGAGCACAAGAGCACCTCTTTTATCTCCTTCCCCTTTCTTCATAAATGAAAGCCACAGCTTATAAATGAAAACACGGCTCTTTGTCTCACAAGCGTCTGTATAACCTCGACGTAGTACCTGTATTTGATGTTTCACACTCTCCACGAAATACAATAGCAGGCCAATCATGTAAACCGGTTATGCAGTAAGAAGGTGACTTTCGAGAAATTGTCACACAACCCTATCGATCGCAGCAGCTGTCAATCTTGGAAATGCTCCCTCTTCTACTTTACAGCTCTCTTGGCTTATTCAATGCAGTAAAAATATTTAGTAAAGGCAAATAGGAAACCTTGATATCCGGCATGTCAATTGCCTCTCTTCTTCAGATACAGTTATGATTAATGCCTTCTCTACGAACTCTAATAACAAACAAGAGGAAACATTTAAAATGCTGTGCCATCTTTTTCAAAAAGTAAGAAAATCGCCAACAACTCACCTGAGCAATTTCAGAGACCACCACCTGGAAATGTTCTCCTTGATTATGCCAAATTTGCGACGTGTCAGTCTGGTTATTCCCTAATCATCATATCAAACTCCAAAGGTTCAGCAAACCCCAGGTTGGTTTACAGTTCTCTTGGTTAAACTTTAACCGGCCCTATCTCTCTGCACCATGCAGCCCTTTGACCAGATAGCTAGGTCACTGCAGCTCACTCTCTGTCTGCCCAAGCTACATATGTTGACAAAATTTGCAAGGCAAAAGTCAACAGTGGGCCCGAGTAAAATGCGCATGAGGTGAGAAGGAGATCATTTAGAAATTGGTCCCCTAGATTTGCTTTGAAAATATTGTTTGGAATACGGAATTTTAACCCAAACTAATTCACCTTATCACTCAACTGAACAAGGCACCAGATATTTTATTATTTACTAGCCGTCCCCTGCCATGCGTTGCTGTGGCTCACATGGGGGTTCTGTGTGGGAGGTTTGGCCCATTTCTATCGTTGGTGGGGTAGAAGTGGGCCAAACCTCAAAACCAAATCCCAGCAACTACAACTCCCAAATGTCAAGATTCTATTTTCCCCAAACTCCACCAGTGTTCGCATTTGGGCAAATGGTAACCTTTCCCCAACATACTGGATCAGGTTGAAACATGCGCCATATACTTCCAGAAGGGACTCGATTATCAATATTTTAAATCTGCCTCAAGCATAAAGAGGCATGATTTGTAAATTATGGGCATATTGAGTATTCGTGTAGAGTTTGGTCCAGATCCATCATTGTTTGAGTCCACAGTGCTCTCTGGATGTAGGTGAACTACAATTCCAAAACCAAAGGATGCTGCCCACCAAACCCTTCCAGTATTTTCTGTTGGTCATGGGAGAACTGTGTGCCAAGTTTGGTTCAATTGGGAACCACTGATCTATACCGTAGAACTAATGCAGTCTGAGATCACTGAGATCATGGTGCAATACTATGGGTTGATGTAGTTTTATAAGGTCTTTAGTCTTCTCTGTCAATTATTATTATTATTATTATTATTATTATTATTATTAACTTTATTTGTACCCCGCTAGCATCTCCCGAAGGACTCGATGCAGCTTACAAAGGCCAAGGCCTCAATACACAACATAACAATACAAACCTAAAGCAAATTAAAAACAATTAAAACAATATTAAATAACAAAACAACAAGCAATGACAATACACCAAAACACAATAAAACTCAATAAAACTGGTGCCTCACCAAACTACAACTCCCAGGATTCCATATCATTGACCATAACAGCAAAAATGGTGTCAAACTGCATTATTTCTACAGTGCAGATACATCCTAGGGTGAGAGGCTTTGGTGCAGACATGATTACAATATGCATTATTTATGTATTACTTTGCTTATATACCGCAATTCTCAGCCTAATGGCGACTCATTGCGGTGTACAACATAGAAAAACAGGTGCAAAATACAACATACAAAAAATAATCCACAGTACATCATTATCAAAACATCTCATCAAAAACATCAATATAACTACAAGCCATTCCGAGTCGTCTCATCGTCAAGTTCACAATCCAATACCATTTCCATTGTTCCATTCCTATGGTCGAGTTACCCGTCATTGCACTACTATTCAAATGCCTTCTCAAACAACCAGGTCTTTAACTTCCTGCGGAATATCAACAGGGAGGGGGCTAGCCTGATGTCTACGGGAAGGGTGTTCCACAGCCGAGGAGCCACCACCGAGAAGGCCCTATCTCTCGTCCCCGCCAGCCGTGCCTGTGACGCAGGCGGGATCGAGAGCAGGGCCTCCCCAGAAGATCTCAAAGTCCTCGTGGGCTCATAGGCCGAGAGGCGGTCAGTTAGGTATCTTGGGCCGGAACCGTTTAGGGCTTTATAGGCCAATGCCAGCACCTTGAATTGAGCCCGGTAGCAGATCGGCAGCCAGTGGAGCTGGTACAGCAGGGGGGTTGTATGCTCCCTGCGACCCGCTCCTGTTAGTATCATGGCTGCCGCACGTTGAACCAATTGAAGCTTCCAAGCCGTCTTCAAAGGCAACCCCACGTAGAGAGCGTTGCAGTAGTCTAAACGGGATGTAACCAGAGCGTGGACTACCGTGGCCAAGTCAGACTTCCCAAGATACGGGATTCCCTATCATTGAACCATAACAGCAAAAATGGTGTCAAACTGCATTATTTCTACAGTGCAGATACATCCTAGGGTGAGAGGCTTTGGTGCAGACATGATTACAATATGCATTAACATTGTATCTATGAAGTATTGTCTTTCAGTGGGTTCTAGGGCAGAGATTATTCACTCACTTGTCGTTGTAGGTTTTTCGAGCTATGTGACCATGTTCTAGAAGCATTCTCTCCTGATGTTTCATCTGCATCCATGGCAGGCATCCTCCCTTCTTCAGGCAGTTCCAGACCTCACAACCTCTGAGGATGCCTGCCATAGATGCAGGAGAAACGTCAGGAGAGAATGCTTCTAGAATGTGGCCACACAGCCCAAAAAACCTACAACAACCCAGAGATTCTGGCCATGAAAGCCTTCGACAACACATTATTCACTCAGCTTCCAGTCCCCAAGGACACCTGCCTTCAGGTCAGCAGTAAGTACACAAGTAGATTGCAACAGAAATGCTGTTTATTAACTAAGACGAGAGCAAAACACCTCTAAAATCAAAATATAAAAATTTAGAATGGGAACTATTCCAACCAATCCATGAATGTACCAGAGTTGGACACTACGCTGTTCCGTTGCCGTACTCTTGAAGGCTCAAAGTTTATAAGACAAGGTCCAAGTTACTTTGCTTGTACTTTTAAAATGAGAAAGGTACACATTAGTCACATGAGAAAATAGATGCAAACAGAATCCAGTGTTTTTCGCATTGTTTAGGTGCATAGGGTTACAGCCTGTGTTGGATGGGGTTACACTCCCCCTGAAGACACAGGTCCATAGCTTGGGAGTGATCCTGGATTAATCACTGAGTCTGGAACCCCAGGTCTCAGCGGTGGTTGGGAGAGCTTTTGCACAATTAAAACTTGTGCATCAGCTGCACCCATACCTTGGGAAGTCTGATCTGGCCACAGTGGTCCATGCTCTCATTACATCCCAAATAGATTACTGCAATGCGCTCTACGTGGGGCTGCCTTTGAAGACTGTTCAGAAACTTCAACTAGTCTAACAGGCGGCAGCTAGATTACTTACTGGAGCGACACACAGGGAGCATACCCCCCCCCCCCCAATTATATCAGCTCTACTGGCTGCCTGTCCAGTTCTGCGCACAAGTCAAAGAGCTGGTCTTGACCTATACAGCTCTGGCCCAGCTTACTTGTCCAAAAGTATCTCCCCCTACATCCCACCTCAAAACTTACAATCTGCCAAGGAGGCCCTGCTCTCAATCCCACCTTCGTCGCAAATGCGCTCGGTGGGGACGAGGGACAGGGCCTTCTCAGAGGTGGCCCCCCGCCTTGGAACTCACTCACCAGCAAAATTAGGTCAACGGCTTCCCTTCTTTCCTTCAGGAAAAAGTTGAAGACAGGGCTATAGGACCAAGCATTTGGATAGCAGGCTGACAATAAAAATGACGACAAAGCTATGGAAAATGGACTGTGGACAGGCCTCAGATTAAGTTGCTGATCATAGTACTTGGACTTGACATGTCAACTAATTCAATCTGCACTATTTTAAATTGTTTTTAATCTAATTTTAATATTTTACTTATTATGTAACTGTTGTTTTAACTGTTGTATATGTGGAGCATCAAATTGTTGCCGCCCTGAGTGGTACAAATATTTGAAATAACGTCCTGGGAAGATGGGTTTGAAATAGAGTACTTCTATAATTGTTGGAAGATCCAGTTTTAGAATGAATACTTTCTAGAATGAATCACTTTCCTGCCCATCATAGTCTTCAAGGCAATGCAAATTAAAAGCACAATATAAAAACTCAACAGTAGCAACACTCTTTAATAGACTAAAATACTTTTAAAAGCCATAGAGCGGATGAAATAACTGAAATCCATCCTCATGCAGCTCAGTATGGCTGGATGCCAGTTGGCATTTCTCTGGAGGGAGTTCTACAATGGAGGTGTTGCTACAGAAAGAGTTTGGGTTTTTTTGTGTGATCCTCAGCAAATTATATTGAAGATCTTAAATTTGAAGCAAGGCTTGTACAGAAGGAGAAGGTATTTCAGATGTCTTGACCTCAAGTTGTTTATTTACTGATTTCAATAGGAAACACCTATATTTACAACTTGTCCAACAGTCGGCAGCCAGTTTAATAAATGAGGCTACTTACAGACTCCGTTGGTTGCCGTTCATTTTACAGTCCCAATTCAAGGTACAGGTTCTTACCTATAAAGCCCTAAATGGTTTGGGACCCACCTACCTTTGTGATCGTATCTCTCTCCATGAAGCAGCCACAGAGGAGCCTTCTCTTCTGTGGCCCCCCAACTCCTGAACTCTTTGCCCGGAGAGATTAGGAAAGCCCCTACCGTAGAAACCTTTAAAAAGAAGAGAGTAGTCACATAATCTTAAGCTATTGCTCCCCTCAACGTTCTTGTCCTAGGAGTACACCCCCCCCACCCCAGTACGAAGGTCTGTCTATCACCCAGTCTCTCTATGAGTTCTCCCTTACAAATAATTCTGCTCCTTTATCTCACCCTGAGTTTTTAAATCATTTTATGTACATGCGGCCCGCTCACTGTCGTTATGTTTAGTTTATTGCTTTTTTCATGTTTTTTGTATATTGTTTATTGCCTTTATATGTTTTGTATTTTACTGCTATGTTGTTTATTTTATTGTAATTTGCATTTTATTTTATTGTAATTTGTTGTTTGGGCTTGGCCTCATGTAAGCTGCCCCGTTGAGGGAGATGGTGGCGGGGTACAAATAAAGTATTATTATTATTATTATTATTATTATTATTATTATTATTTGGATGGATGGATGGATGGAAGATGTAATTCGAAGCCAATTCATCTTATGGACTGGCTCTTGATTTTCATGATCATTAGTGCCAGGCCCGTAGCCAGGATTTTGATTCGGGGGAAGCTGAGTTTGATTGGGGGTGGGGGGGCTGAGTC